TAGAACCCGTTTCCTGAAAGAAATCCCCCCCCCCCCCTCACTGCAATCAACAATGTTAATCTGTAAAGAATTTTGGTTTTACAGAAGCACCCATCCCGCTCCTTCTGACAATGCTGTGAATGGTTCCAAAAGAGCTAATGGGTAGAGACAAATGTCTTGCCACCCATCTCTGCTCACAGGCAGTTCCAACTGTTGCGATAAGCTGTGACGTGTGTGCTGATGTGTGCAGGGCGAAGATCATATCCGGTGCAGTGCTCTGTCGCCATGCGGAGAGTGGCTGGCGTACTCGACTGTTTCCAGCGTTCGTCTTTACATGCTACAGATCGACAACAACAACATTCGTATCACAAAGGTGCGGATTTCATTGCTGACGTGACAAATGTGATTTTGTGACTTGTAGCAAAACCACCAGACGCATCTCATGGATATTGCATGGTTGGTCTGCATGTCATGGCATGCAATGCCAGGACAACCCGGGTGACCTCTTGCCTGTTTTTTCTGACCCCCCATAGGTTTCAAAACTACCCAAGATCCTGAACTCAGCCCAGCAGCTTTGCTTTTCTTCAGATTCCACCAAACTCTTTGCAACCTGCAGCCAGTCATCGGTCATTGTGGTTTCTCTCAGCCAGTCCGAGTGCAAATATGTTCACACCCTCAACCCTCAGCCAGGTGAGTCTGAAATTGGCTTTCTTTGTCTGGACCTATTTGAGTTACAGTTATTGTTGGGGGGTTACATTCCAGACCACCCCCGCAACAGATGAAATGGCCAAAGTGGTGCTCAAGTATTTATTATAGTTGTGTCTATTGTAGGGCTGCCACAATTTATTTTGATCGTCGACTTATCGTCAACAATAATTGCAAGTAGTCGACTCATCGTATCGTAGGTATATTGCATATCGGATATAACCATCATTAGCTTACAGCTTGAATTATTTAAGGTATGTTCAAATTCATAACAATAGACAATTAAAATGATTGCATCTTCAACTTTTATCAAGCTTGCAGCTCATTTCTGACATGTTTATAAATGATAGAGCAACTTAAATTGAAGGCCATACTGTGCCCTTAATCTTTTTAGCTGGAAATGTTTAGTGCATTTTAAAATGGAACCAAAAACGATACACTATGCAGAGTTGAACTCATACAGTGAAATCAATAGTGGTAAGCTCACCTCTCGTGTGCTACACACACACACACACACACACACACAAAATCAGCGATGCACTGAACCCATAAAAAATGACCCGCGATATAACGAGACGACTGTACTGTGAAAAGTACAGTTGACAAGCGAATCAACAGTGCAACTTTTCCATGAAACGTGCATTGAATGTTAGTTGTGGAGTTACAAACCAGACAGCAATTTTTATTTTGGGCTAGCTTTGATTTTACACATTCATAAACCTGTCATCACAAGGTTCGAAATTAAATCCGTAAAAAAAATATATATATATACTTACTTGAGCATATCCTCAGAAGTGATTAACATGTCATCATGAGCATGTATGTTTGTGTGGTTCAGCTTCCAGACACCCAGTCCACCTGTTGCATGCAAGTGATGACGGCAATTGGCTCGTTACAGCCAACACAGGCTTTGAGATCCACGTTTACAACCTTCAAAAGCTCAAGGTGATGTGAGATTTTTTTTTTTCTGTGCACAAAATGTGAATCAGTACACCAATTGAGCTTGTTCCTATTTGCTTGTGCACGTAGCTTCACTGCACAGTGCCGGTGTACAGCTCCTGTCCCACCGCCTTGGCCATCAACCCCACCACCAGAAACCTCATCACAGCGCACGCTGACCAGCAGGTGAACACCTCGCTCACTGCTGTTCATATCTGTCTTATAATACCCCAAATGAATCTTGCCCTCACATTACGTGCCCATCTCGTGTGTGCATTTATCCCACGCAGATATTTGAGTTCTCTCTAGTGCAAAAGGAATACACCGATTGGAGTCGCAAGCTACAGAAACAAGGGCTGCACCCTCTGTGGTTGCAGAGGGACACGCCCATCACCCATGTCACCTTCAATCCCAAGAACTCTGCTCATATTCTTCTGCACGATGTGTTTATGTTCTGCATCGTCGACAAGAGCCTGGTGCGTGAAGCGACCGAAAGCCACTTGTGTTGCCTTGTATTGTGACGAGTGTAATTCGAGTTAATGGGGCCTTTTTGTCCACCACACGTAGCCCCTCCCTGAAGCAAGGTCTCAGCTCTCCAACCAAATGACACTCAGGAGTCTTCCGGAGTCAGAGAGAATGAGACACAGCCACGCATTCAAGATATGCAAAACCTTTCAGGTAACCTTATGATGCTTACAGTATATTTCTTAAGAAGGTAGGCGAAATGTAGTTATGCATACTGGCTCAAAATATTTTTTTTTCTTCTTCTCCCTTGTGAATCAACGAAAGCCAACTTTCAAATTTTCTGGAATGAAATTTGAGAACATTGTGCAGACCTCAAATGTCAACATTGAGAATTTAGGACTCTGTTGTGAAAACAAATAATATTACTGATATAAGCATTTTGCACTATATTTTTAAGATTTTAGGCAACTCCTCCTGGCGGACATATGACAGAGCAGGGGTGCCTTACCTTTTTTTGACTGAAGAGTTACTTTTCAAGCCAACCAACCATCGCGATCGACCGTTACCGCACATGTACACGTACACGCACTCACCCATGCCTACGTGCACATAGGCGCGAATGCATGCCATGATGAGCAACAGCCATAACGACCCCTAACATGAACAAAACAGAAAAATAAAGTAGATACAAGAGTTTGTGAAAAAGGAAATCACTGCTTATCTTCGTGGGAGACCTGACGCAAAGGCAAACGCACCTTTGCCCTGTGTAAGAAACACGCGTACCATTTTAAAATGCCTCTCCTGGGGATCCAGATTCCCATCCTTTCTTTGCCTGTCGCATTTGGTGAATTGCAGATGAAACAAACTGAAAAAAGGAAAAAAAAGATATCACAACAGCTCTGATCGCAAGCTGCAATTGCAGACTGCTGACCGCTAACATCTTTAGGTGATGCAGGTCACACTTAAACATAAATTTCACTGTACATGCATGAAGAAGAACATTTTTTTATATGTTTTTATTTTGGGATATATATTCTTATAAATAAAATATTGAGAGTGTAGCGCACAGCTTCTGTGAATTAAGGAAGCCGATTCACACATTGTCCTTTCGTTCCTAAAAAGCTAATGGTTCTAGTTAGGTGAGATGGCTGTGAATGTGACAAAGTCTGCATCCAGACTCAGATATTTATTTATTCAAAGAGGAGGATTTAACTTGACCGAGGACCTCACAGTCGGCCTTCGGCGCAGCGGCTGAAGCGCTGGCCCCGCCTGGCACAGTAGCAGCGCCCCAAAGTGTCAGTATTTGGAAATTATGTTTTCGCACTACTTCATTCAATTCAATTGTCTATGCAGTATTGAAAATACAATACACACCGCGGACTGCTGAGCAACTGAAGTTGTACATCAAGCTTGAATAGGAAAAAATTCCAACTGCAAAACTCCAACAATGAGTGTCCTCAGTTCCCAAACACTTACTGAGTGATGATGATGTCACAGTGGTAGACATTCACCTGTGTCCGCTTTTTTGGAATGTCATGCAGACATCAAATTCAAAATGAGTGAATATTTCCCCCCCTCCCCTCAAAAAACAAAGTTTATCAGTTTGAGCCTTAAATACCTTGTCTTTGTAGCCTATTCAATTGAGTATAGCCTTACAGAAAAGCATTTGCATTTCCTTGTATTGTTTTTTGTCGACATATATGTCCCATCGTCACTGGAATTGTGGTTTGTGTTTATTGATCAAATTTCACAAAGGCTACAAAGTGCTTTTCAAGACACAGTTCAAGTGCATACAATTCAAAAGCAAAAGGGGGCTGAAAAAAAACATTTTTAAACAAACTGCAAGATAAACAATGTGCCCCGAAGATTAAAAATGGCCCAAGTTAAAAAGCAAAGTCCCAGTTCTTTTTAAAGCTTTCCATTGACTCCGCCAACACAACTGAACATTTGCCAGTTTGGGAGCGACTGTTTGGAATGCGCAATTGCCACCTGTTTTTAGACAGGCACGCGAAAGAGGTTGACGCTATTGAACTTCAAACCACGTGAAAACGAGTAGGGATGGATAAGTTCAGTGATATAGGGAGGGGCCAGTTCACAGAGGCCACGGATAGGTGGTGCTGAATACTTGTACAAACTCTTTGAAGTAACCTATGTGATCAGAAATTGGTCAAATAGAACAGTTTTGATTGACTCGAATATGAACGACACTAAAAATAATCTCAGCGTTTTTGTGAATCGCAGGTAGCAGCATTGACGTTTCCACTTTGCTCCCCGCAGTACCTCTTGAGTTTGACTCTGCTGGATGACCAGTCCCTAGTTGTGGTGGAGCGCCCGCTGACGGACATCCAATCTCAGCTGCCTGCACCCGTACGACAGAAGAAGTTTGCCACATAAACAAAAGCACAGAAAAACAGCTTTTGTCCGGCTTGCCGCGACAGATCTCATGAGTCAAAGAGCTGTTTGTCGGACCACATCCAAAAATAGCCGAAGGTTTCCACTTTGTTAAAGCGTTTTGATAAATAAACAATCCAACTGTTTTCTGTCCTTTTCTCATTTAAGTGTTCACTATGCTCACAAGAGGGACTTAGTATGCAAAGGTTAAATGGCTTGGTTTGATCATCCTTGCGAGTGATGTCACACCTACCGTGTCCGGTCCAAAGTCCACAACCAATGGGACAGATCAGATTTCAGTTGGAGTCTGCAATAAATGTACATAGAGAGCAAGAGGAGAGATCTGAAGTGATCGTCCAGGATTATTTTGCCACAGTACATGACGTTCCACTGGTTTACCGAGGGAGTACACAATACATTGTCACATGCAAATTTTAAAAAATGGAAATGGAGAGAACACATGGCAGCGTCATCAACCGTACACTTTAAATGGGTGAATGTTTTCTTATTGTCAGTAGAATAGTTGGCATTTATTAAACTGGATTAGCGGTTGGCATGCTGATTACTTGGCAGGGTTGTCAACCACAAATGTTTTTATAATTATGGGGAAAGTTATTTTTTTTTTTATTTTAATTTTTTTAATTGATTCATTTTTTTGTTTCAAACTGTACAAAGCAAAACAAAGTATTCATACTGCTTTCATTTTCCACATTTTATGCTTCAACATTAAAATGGAATAGATTTTCGCAAGCAAAAAAAAAAAGAATTGAGATAAGAAAGCATGGACAAATATACATTGACATCATTCTACAGCATTTGCTCAATACTTTGTTGGCATTTGGCACACATCCAGTATCTTGGGGCAGGTTTTTCATTTCAGTATCCTTTATGCTGATGCGTGGGAACAGGATGCACCTGAGCTCAAGTTTGAGCTTTATTGTCAAGACTAAGCATAAATGTGTATGTAGATATGATTCCAAAGTTTTTAATTTTAAACAAATGTGGGAGGGGGCGGGGGGAATTGCAATTTACACATTGAGGCAAAAGCTGAATAGAAAATGGATGCATGTTGTCTTGGTAGGAAGAAAAATAATCAATTATGGAATAAGGAGGTAACCTGTCACGTGGAGAAAAGGAAGTGAAGTACTGTTCACAAGCATGTGCATAAATAGATCCCTGATGATGCTCCAGCACCAGCCCTTTTCGCCCTGGTTGAGAAATGTTCCCTTTGCCTAGCGTCCATGTTTTTTCTTTATTCATCACTAATTCTTTTAGGAGAAAAAAAATACCCTCTCCATCATCAAGTTTCCCCAAAGTTGTTTGATACCACATGAGTATTTGTGCGTATTGTACCCATCACTGATCTGCATCCACACAAGCCTTCACTCACTATTTGAACAGGGGTGCGCGTTGTGACTTTTTATATCTACCGTAGCTTCCCTTCACCTCCTTTGTAAATCATATACCCTAGCGCTCCCAGAGAAGTTACAAAGATCAAAAACTATATTCTTGTGCATTCCTTATACACAAATTATAGCGCCCCCCCCCAAGATATGTATGTCATGAATATGATGTGATGACATCGGCAACCCTGTGACTTGTTGACGGTTAATTTGTATATATATACTTTTTTTTTCAACTCCGCTTATTCTGAACAGGGTTGCAGGGTGTTGCTGGAGCCTATCCCAGCTGATTTTGTGTAAAAGGCAGACTACACCCTGAACTGGTTGCCAGTCGGTCCCAGGGCACATATAGAGACAAATGACTATTGACATCCTCATTCACACTGTCACTTGAGTGGGAACTGACCCTACCCTGCTATCATAAAGACTGAGAAACTGGAGGAATGCTCATCAAACACCTGCTTGGAACATTCCGCAGGTGAATAGGTTAACTCTAGGAACAGGTAATTGCTACGAGTGGGTCGAAAAGGAGCTGACCTGAATTGCTCAGTCTTTCACAAGCCAATATAGGGCGAGGTTCACCTCTTTGTGAACAACTGCATGAGAAAATTGGTAAAGGATATCATCACAGAGACTCAGGAACACTTCAGAAAACCAATGTCAGTAAATGCAGTTCGGCACTCCATCCGTAAGTGCAACTTAAAACTCTACTATGCAAAGCAAAAGCCACGAATTAACAACACCCAGAAAGGCCGCCGGCTTCTCTGGGCCCGAGCTCATCTAAGCTGGACTGATGCAAAACGTGTTTTGTGGTCTGACGAGTCCACTTTTCAAATAGTTTTTAGCAATTTTTTGGACGTCGTGTCCTCTGGGCCAAAGAGGAAAAGAACCATCCGCACTGTTGTAGACACAAGAGTTCAAAAGCCAGCATCTGCGATGGGATGTGGCTGTGTTCGACCCAAAGGGTAACTAACACATCTGTGAAGGCACCATTAATGGTGAAAATTACATACAGGTGTTGGAGAAACATATGCTGCTATCCAAGAAATGTTCATGGATGCCCCTGGTTATTTCAACAAGACAATGCCAAACCACATTCCGCATGCAAGAGTGCCACGATCTCTTCAACAGAGAAAGCTGTGGAAGGCGTCAGAATGGCAGAATTGGTTACAGTTTTATAGTGTATTTGTGCTGAGAGGAATTCTTCCCAACGTGTTTTACCAGCATTGGTTAGTCCTTGTCACATTCATGTTCCTACTTTGCAAGGACATTATTACAACAGCGGATTTACAAAAATGTGAAAAACTTGTTGGAGATTTTGTCAAACAATTTGAAACACTGTATGGTAAAATTCATGTGTCATTTAATGTACATTTATGTCTTCATTTACCAGAGTCTGTTCGGAATTGGGGACCTTTATGGGCCCATTCTGGTTATATTTTTGAGTCATACAATGGTGAAATACTGAAAATGTTTCATGGCACTCAGTGTGTCCCTTTGCAGATAATGAAACAATTCACATATAGACAAGTATTGCCTCTTTTAAGAAATAATGCATTGAGAAATGCTGTTCCCGAATGCATCCAGCTCTTTAGTAAATTAACTGGCAAAAAAAGCATGAAGCAGTTAGATAGAGTTGGTGATCAATTTGTAACCCTTGGTTTGCATTATTGTCGAGAACTGTCAAGTGAAGAGCGACTGGTCATGAAAGAGCAACTTGCAGTCACAACAGGAACAGTTGTGAAAATATTTAAGCGAGTTCTGGTCAACGGAGAGCTTTATTACTCCCAAGAGTTCACAAGGGTAATGAAAAGAAACAGCTTCACTGTACTGATGAAGAATGGAAACATCATCACTGTATACTACTACATTGTTGTAGAGCAACACGGTAACAGAAAGTGCTTTGCTTTTGGGAGACAGTATGATAGATCACATAGTACCCTGATTCGTGTTGAAAATGTAGTTTGTTTGAAAAGGAAGTTCCGTGGCAGGAAACAGATATTTGATGTCACACTGTTCAACAGAAAATGTATGCTCATTGATCTGCCAAAATATGCAAGCCTCTATGCATGCATACCTCCAAGATCCAGTGTGGAGGATTGAAAATGTCATGGCAAAGTGCATGCCAATTTTGTAGACTCCCAAAATAAATTCTACTTTTGTAATACCATTTCTGTTTTTTGTCATCATTGTATTTTCTTTCAAAGGATACACTATTTTATACACATATTTTATTATTTGAGCATGAGAACACTAGACATAGAACAATAAAAGGAAAAAATACTTTTCAAAACATTTATGTTTACTCATGAAACTCATGTGGGGGTAGGATGCAGTCTATCATGTAATGAAAAAATATATATGATTACATATTGCAATATGTTGTAAAATAAAAGACAGGCTATTGTGAAAAATATAGTAATGATAAAAATAATGTACATTTTATTTATGAAACTTTAAAAATGATACAATTTTGCTCATAGATTCCTTTAACAGTCAATGGTCGATACCTATATTGAAACATATTAGAAAATATAAAGACAAAATCCCATATATGAAAATATATTATGTCATGTATTGAATGATATCTTCCAATATATTCCAATATATTTTTCTTTCGTAAGGGTGGCTTCTTCGTAAAAGAGTGCAGGGCTACAAGACTGGCCTGCCTGCAGTCCAGACCTGTCTTCCATTCAAATTTTGTGGCACATTAGGAATCGTAAAAAGATTTCCCGGACTATTGAACAGCTGAAGCTGTACATCAAGCAAGAATTCCACCTCTAAAGCTTCGACGTTTAATGTCCTCATTTTCCAAACATTTTTGGAACGTTTTGCAGCCATAAAATTCAAAGTTAATGTTTATTCGCTAAAGACAATAAAATTGATCAGTTTAACATTAACTATCATGTCTTTGTTGTGTATTCAATTAAATATAGGTTGAACGTGAATTGTAAACCATCGTTGTCAGGTTTATCAATGAGACATTTATGAACCACCATAGAATGAGAGCGAGAGAGAGAAATAATGACACTTGGCGCTGGTACCAGTTTTTCTCGAGGGGGAACGTGAAGAAGCAGTTGTGGTTCTCGCCAACGTTGCCCAAACTGATTCTCCGTGAACACCCTCCTTTTATTAATTTCAGGGGGCCCTAGTTACATGGGTGCTCCAACGTAAGGGGGGGGGCGGGGCTGGTCCAAGGTTGGAGACACGTGAATGTGTTTGGCTATGTGTGTGTATGTCGGTGTGACGTTACCCAGTACATGTGTGAAAGCATCTGCAACACTCAAAGTACTGTATTTGCAACACATCAAGTGATATTTTTAGCATGACTCTGTAGACATTATTCCTCTTTCCTAATTCTTATTTGAAAGAGAAGTACCGGTATATCTTTTGAGCAAGGATTTTTTTTTTCATTGCACTTAGCCAGCAAAACATTCATGAATAAGAGAAGAAGTACGTGTGTCGAGAATGTATGATAACTAAAACATATAATTATTTCTTCAATTGTATTGTTTTTACTTATGTTCGATACAATGTCCCAAGGTGATGGGAATTGGGGTTTGCCGCTACAAAGGAGCTAAACTGTATGGAACGGCTGCAGTGCACTTTCACATAAGTGGAAATTGCAACGGCAATTAAAGAGGGATGGGTGACTTGAGGCTTTTGTATTTCTTGTACGGCGTCACATCTTATCCCGATTGTGCAAAGTGTCATTGTTGCCTATAGCGTAAATGACGAGAAATTTTGAGGAGCTACGGAACCGGTTGTTAATACTGTGAATGCATTTCCAGTTGACGTCATGAGTATCGACAGTCAATACACAATGAAAATGTCATCATAACGTTTATTTTGGTTGAAGCTAACCATACAATTCCTGTCGACTGGATCAAGTCCCACTGGGACAATATGAACACCATATCAGCATCGATACATAAATTCACCGGCTTCAAAAGTCAGATCTTCTTCATTCACTCCCAAATCATCTAAACCTTGCGGAAAAGATCAAATGAGTCCAGTATACTGTATGTTACAATATTAGAACATCTTCATGAAAAACAGTGTTTTCGTAATATCTGGTGTACTTAAGACACAAAATGCAGCTCTGTAAACATGATAAATAAATAAATAAATAGCGTCGAATAAATAAAGACTCGTTCAGCTTTGAGCCTCTTAAGTCTGACTGAATTGTGGCAAAAAAATCAAATAAAAAAAGCAAAAGATCAACTCTCATTGTTCTGGCATATGCCGCCATTCAATTTATCCTGACGTCCACAATCCAGGCAGAGATCAAAGTCGACCTTGCAAGAAGTGTGTGCCAAGTGGTGATTACACGAGGTGGGGTCTAGCACAGGTGCAACCCACCGTCACAACCACCGAGACCGGCTTTAAGTAATACTTTTGCTCGTCAGTGCAGCGCTCCCGCTTGAGAAACACCCTGGTCTGGGTGAGGGGAACCGAGTTGTAGTCGTGGCTCAGCTCAGGGGTCCCTTGGTTCTTGATCATGATGCACCCGGAGCACAGACACTGAGCTTCAACGTAGGTGGACGGGTAGTGGTCCTTCATTGGTTTCGATCTGGAGAGAAATGGCACGGCAAGGTGAGCGATGATGATGAAGCCATTGCTACTAATCAGAATCAGAATCATCTTTATTGGCCAAGTACTGTCTGGAGAACACACAAGGTATTTGTCTCCGGTAGTCCAGGCTACCCTAGTATCATCAATAACAAGCAACTACGATAAACAAGGACATGACAAATAAGTATGGAAAGACGTTCCGTAATGTGAGTGTACTGTTGAGCGGTGGTACCACCCAATGACATCTGTGAGACAATGTGCAAAGTATCAAGCAGAGCTAAAGTGATGAGTGGTAGAATACCATACTAAAACAGTTGTGCAGTTGGTGCAGAAAATCATTGCACCATTTTAAAGTGACCAATAGCAATATTTGTACAACATCTTTAAGTGTGCAATTGTCCAGATGTCCTTGAGCGCTTTAAAGTGTCTGGTGCTGTGGAATAGAGATCAGTGACAATTGTTCAAGTAAGTACAGAGCTGGAGCTAGAGTGATTATTGCGGGAATGCTCTTCCATAGGGGTGTGCAAAATTGCAAAGAGCCTCTATACAGGTAGATTTGGGTTATTGTTTCGGGAGTTAATGGCGAGAGGGAAGAAGCTGTTTGAATGTCTGCTGGATTTGGTGAGCATGGATCGGTAGCGCTTGCCTGTGTATGTGCGCGCGCACACACACACACACACACACACACAATATTAGTTAATCTGTCATCCTCACTAATGTTTTTGAAAATCATATTTTGGCCGAAAATGCCAATGTGCTTTCGAGTTGGGCTCGTTCCATTTCGCCTGGGGAGCATTCCCCACCTGTTGTTTAACTGTAGTATCTGTGATCGCGTTTCACTGATGACAAATGAAACGCAAGTTGCAAGATGATGAAAGCCTGGGAATGCCACCATAACACAGCATTACACAACTCTGCAATGCAATACCATCACGTCAGGTTGCCAGTCGTTTTCAGTGCTGTCAGGCCGAGCGGGACTTTCCCTTTGGGTGATCACACGAACGCGTCATAATGGCGAGAGAGTGGCACCAGAGGCTCGAGAGCAAAAGAACAATTAAAAGTGATGACACCGAGAATAACATGACAGAAACAAATGACATCAGTCTGTCATTTTGTCATCGCGCAAGGTGGGTAAATAAAAACATCTGAGGTAATGTTTTGGCATTTCTTTGTTTTGAGGACACGGGGAAAGACGTTTCAAACACCAGCATTCTTCCGCCAAGGGTAAAACACGTGTCCCTTCAGGAAATCTGACGTGGACTGGATGATCTAATAAACAACAGAACTCACAAACATTTATGGTTACTCAGCTTTCAAGACAAAAATTCATGAAGAACTTCAAATCTTGAGAGGTGAACTTAATTGAACCTTCTCGAAACTTTTGAACATCCAACTGTTTTTAATGCCTCACTACTTTTTGAACTTGCTATGCTTTGACAAGGAGTAGAATGGCAAAATTCATTTCTCAGGACGTTCACCTCTGACTTTCTGTGACTCTTCCAGTCTCGCTGTTGACGAGACTGACTGACCTATGAAAACACCCTGTTTGAAGCCTTACAATACCGAGGGACTCTTGAGCAATTGTTAAGGTGTCGTCTTTGTCTGATGGTGTCAAACGGTAAAGATGATGATGAAGAAAACGGCTCAAGTACCACTTTTGATATCACCAGGAACTATATTGGTCCAAAGTACTGCAACAGTGAACATTGACTGTTCAAAAGACTGAATCAAGTAATATTCTACTCGGCGCTACTCCACGGTTTAGGGGTGCTGTACACCTGCCACGAATCTGTGTCGCCCTTCCAGCATTTTATTTGATATCTTAAAATATTACAATTTTAAAATATTTTTTTTCGCAACCAACTACCACCACCAGCACATTTCGGTCAAGTGCCTGATTCTCCCATAGTTCTACCAAATGTATTTTCTGTTCAGACACTGGTGTCATTTTATTTGATTTGCGTTAATGTAACCCTTATTTAATCCAGCTAAAACAATTAAGAGCTGATTCCGGGTCTCAATTGCAATGCGGGTCTTTTCTACAGGACTGGCTCACGCACGCGGATAAGGATGACAAGGATGCTTACACATATCTCCAGGGAGACAAGGACCTCTCCTTCAGGTCCCAAGGCATGTAGAGGTCCAGGGGGCACGCAAAGGGGGAGTCGTGGGCCACCGCCCCCCGAGGCTCCGGAGGCTGCGGGTAGTGACTCGCCAGCTTCCTGTGGGCCACCTTGCTCAGCTCCTGCTCCTCGTAGCAGCGGTGGAGGTTAGACGTCCACGCGGGCCCCGCCACAAGGACCACCACGGCCACCAACTGTGAGGGGATGCAGACCGGCTTAGAAGTCAGACCGGACGCGGGACGGCCGACTGACGTGCACTCACTCACCTGAGTCAGTGCGCCCATCTCTCGTGGTTCGCCTCGTCTGCTGTGTGATGCCGGCAGACATGCTCGAGTCTTTATTAGTCTGGGAAGTGTCGTTGGCATGAGGAAATTGAGAGCTGGAACTCTGCTCGAAGAGGAGTTTGGGTAACTTCCAACTTCCACGCACACACCCCCGCGCCGAGCCCGCGGTTGTGTATATTTGCAGGTGAAATCAGGTGATTGTCTATTTTTAGCTCATGGCTACCTCTTTTAATTGTTAAACAAATACAGAAGACAATGTCCAAGATGACGCAATTTTACGTCACGAAGCGTGCGCTTTATTACTCAACAAAGTACTGTTTAACTAGCGCATGTGTGAGGATGTGGCAAGGAGGAGCGCGTCGCTTTTAGAACGCGTCGATGATAATTTGACCGCTTTTTTTCCCTTTTAATATGTCCCTCGCAGTGATGAATACAATCAATGAATGATAGGAACATTTTAGGTAAAGGTAAGGAAAGGGTTTTGGCTCCAGTATAAATGCAAGCAAATTTCAGACAGAAGTCCCAACTTGTAAAATTGCTTGTCCACTGACTGTGCTGACCTGTCAATCAAATCAAACATCTCTTCAAAACCTTGGCAAAATGGATGCTAGCATATTTCTTATGCCTGCTCCATGTTTGAGTCGCAAAAATGTCTGCTTAAAGTCCTACAGGTTGTCGTGGGGGCGGTTCGAAGCCCGCCCCCCCCACCTCATGCCCGCTGTCACATCACATTTTTCACATCTCTGACCTCGCTCTTCCCAATTTTTCTCGATGAAGCGTGCACACTCGCGTTCGAGGCCCTGTCAAGCAGCCACGTTAGTCCTAAACGCCACTCTACACGCTGGCTTTCAAGTCTGACATTTAAAAAAAAAAATCCCCTCTCATTGTTATTACACCTTCACCGCCGACAATGAGGTGCTCTCAAACGTCATGCCAGCACACTCTCTTAAGGGAAGATGCATTTTCAGGGTTTAAGCATCCCGAGATGGGCATCAATGGTGTCAGATAATCGCTGGTGCGAAGACATTCAAATTCTTATGATGTGGAAGGTGTGCGACTTCTCTCATTTGTTTTAGTCAACTCGTGGTCCCCAATTTTTACTGGCCTGAACATATTGTACATTTCAACCGCACCACTTATCGATGGTTGCGCAGAGTTGGTAGGACAGAAGTTTGGAAGATATGCAAGCCAGGTATTAGAAGATTTACACAGCAAGGTGAAAATATGCCACTAAATTGTAAACAATAAAGACTTGACACCATTCCATTCATCTTCACTTCCTCTTACTGCTTTCACTTTTGTCTTCACTTATAAGGGAGAGGTGCCCAACCAGACATCGCGATTGATCGGTAGCACACGAACTGGTCCCGAGTCGATCACGAGAGGTGTAGGGAGAAATGTAAAAAAAAAAGATGTGTGTGTGTTTGTGTGCGCGTGTTATTAATATTACATATTTTTGTGTTAGTATTCACTGCACCATAAGCATCCTATCAGTTTCACTTTCACCAAAAAGTATTTAACCTTTTCAGCAACAGCGGTCACTACAGTGGACAGCTCATCATGTCATCAGGTTACAGGTTATCATGATTGGTGCCTGAAAGGGTTAAAAAAAAAGCAGGTCACCTTCAACCTCTGGTGGCGGGTGACCTGCATCATTGGAAGTTGTTAGCGGTCAGCGGTCTGCGATCACAGCCCACGGCCAATTGGTGAGCAACTCTTTTTCCTTCTTTCTTTCCAGCATTCTGATACAAGTTGAACTTGATTTCAAGAAAGATGGCTGAACACCATTTCACTGTAGTAGGTGTCAAATTTCATGTCGGTACCTGTCAAATGTCTGTCAGTATGTTTTCTCCAGACGGAAGTTTTGATTGTTCCCCCAGGGCTCAAATGTATTTCATTTTTCAGTCCTTAGAAGAAAAGCAAATGGCTGGTTCTTCCATGAATGCATTTAAAATTGTTACACTACATCTTTTGTAGCCGTTTAAAAAAAAGCACATCCATGCCTACTCATAAATTCATCATCACCTTGTTTCTCTATGTACTGAATATAGGCAGTGGCTGTATGTTCCCCCTCAAATCCCCTAATGATGACTAAAACGATGAAGTAACGTATGTGGACAACCCAAATAAAGGAGAAATTCTTCAACCTTTTGCCCCTCACCTTTCACTTCCCAATGACAAATCTACGGAAAAGCCAAAAAGGAAATGTCAACAGGGCCAACCTCTCATGAAACACAAGTTCCCATTTCAGACTCAGCATACAAGTGCAGGTAACAAAATCATTGGATTCAAATTACAGGCATGAAATAACAAGTGTGAATGAAATATTGACTCAACGAAGTAGTACTTCACTGACAATCACGGTGTATCCAAGTCCTGTGTGCAAGCCTCAACATAAATATACACAACAATAAAACAGTAAAACAGTAAAACAATGTACTGTATTACAATTCACGAAAATTACGGGATACAATATGGATGCTGGGATGCTGAAATTGTAATCTCACACTCACTTGTAGGACATCATTCGCATTTCAGAGTTTAAATTCGAATGTAAACAACTGCAGTTTTTTAGCAGCTATTAGTTCGCCCATCGACAAGTAACGCACATTCAAATAAAACGATTCAACTCTGCCCCATTTAGTCATCTCTACCGCTTCACTTCATTTTACAGGAGCATCTGGGATTTTTGTTTCAAAGGTACAGTGTGTAGAATTTAGTGCCATCTAGTGGTTAGCTAACGGAATGCGACGACCTAAACTCGAAGTGCGTGCAAATTGAAGCATGCGCACTACGGTGTCTCGGAGAGATCACGTATTTTTCACGCTTCCTGAAGTCATTGTAGTGAGGAAATACGATAAGTTTGTCTCCTTCGGTTATCTGTAACAGAAAGATGTCTTTGAAACATGGCACCCATCTGTGAGTTGCACACTAAATCATATAATTAGCGATTACTTCACCTCTAATTTCATTTTTAAAAAATGGAGAACATTTTTTCGCGTATTATTGAAAATATGTACCTGTTTTTTAAGTGAACATTGAAAATCAACGTTTTTTACACACTGGGCCTTTACCCCCTGACAGTTGAATATGAAGTCCAATGTGATTTTGATGCATGTGAAGGTCATCATGAGGAAAAACAGTCTAAGTCTGCCAAGGAAAATCAGAATTTGCTCACAACAAGGCACTACAGTACAGACATGCAGCCAAAGAATGCAGCATTTTAATTATTTCAATAGCTTGTAGTAAAAGAATGCAATATTTTGATGATTCCACTAACATTTACTCTTATGCGACTTTGTTTAAATTCCTTGGAGCTCGCAAAAGCCCACACTCTCTCTCGCCACACTTGATTGTTTTGCTGATGAGTATTTTAAATATATACAGGTATTCCAGTCAACAATGCTGTTGGGCTCTGTTCCCGCTCAGTGATGACGTCAAGAATTGTTATTGTTATTAAGTGGAGTGGGTCGGAAAAAGTGTGTGAGTCGCTCACGTTTGAAGGGCTCAGTAGGCGTGGTGATGATGGCATGTTGGCCCTATTTCAGACATCTGAGGCTGCTGGAGGTGGGGCCACACGTTTAACGCAGTCACCTCATTTCATCTCATCTTGACATGCGATCGTGCGGCCAATTAGTGTGACACAACGTTTGCTAAGTGCGCTCCGATTGCTCCTGGCAAAGGCACATTTCAAGCGCTTAAAATACTGCAGTGCAACGTAATAAGCACACACACACACACATGCCATTCACACTTGTCAAACGGCTGTAAACAGAGTGCATCATTCTGAAAGACTGCAAGTTAAAGGAACTGATTTTTGTCAATGGACAGAAATGCAACAAGCTATATAAAGCTGTGTGTGTGTGTGTGTGTGTGTATATATATCTGGGGGGGGGGGGTGGGGAGAGTCAACAGTGCTCTTTATCAAAATAGTTTATTTAGGCTTTTGTCACAAAAGCAAGACATACCTTGTCTCGAATGTCCCATTTGCAAACTCTCTCTCTCTCCCCCAACTACAAATATGACAAATAAACCATTGGTTTACAACTTCTGAGAAGAGCTATGAAGAAAATAAAATTCATTTTTTTTGTGTGTTAAAAAGGCATACCTCACCACAGCTGTGTATACTTTTCTTGAGCCCCTGATGTGTGACAAACAGGGTGTCACAACAAAACTCTGGACAGACCTTTGGTTTAAGGTGGACCTATGAGCAGTGTTGTCACTTACAAGGAAACACGAAAGACTCGCAACAAATTTCAAAATTTTACAAAGGATTGGGAAGCCTTGCAGATGTCATGTCCTACAACACTGAACTTACACTCCATACAGAAAACAAACATAGGGGGTGGGTGGAGGGGATGATCTGTTGGGACAAAAATCAAAAAGAGTCCAGACAACAGCGAGAGCAGATTCTAGAGAATCTCGCTATTCATCAGGCGCACAAATAATAGACTGTTTTCTTTTCTCACTCAAAGATCAGAGCGTCACCTTCTGTTGGTCGGTAGACAAATTTGACTTTTCTATCCCAGCATGCCTGTTGTTCCCCTCCTGCTTTTCAACTACTAGGCCAAAGAGGGCATTTGGGAGTGAAAGATGCTCTAAGACAAATCTCTCTTGTGGAGGCCACTTGTTCACTGACACAATGCACACATGAGCCATACATTTATACATGTCCATTGGAGGCAGAAGAGTCAAGCAGGATTCACTGGGAATTGATCCGACCTGCGAGTGGCCTGGACTCTGCGCGCTGTGTGCTGGCGTGGACAGCCAGCCAGCCAGCCAATCGGAGCAGGGAACGGACTCTCTCTTATTTGCTGGGGATCTTTGCTCTTTTCCGAGCGATGGCGTCTTCCACGGCCTTCAGTTGCTTGAGCAGCTCCTCGCGACGAGACAGGGTGTTGCTGGGTTTACTGGAAGCGGAAGCTGGAGCCGTGGCGGCGAGCTTGCCAGACTGGACTCCGGGCCCTTTTCCAGATGATTTCGGGGGTGGTGACAGAGGCCGCTTTCTACAAAACCAGACAAGAAATGCTTACATGATTCATGATGGTATCATTTGACCACACACACATCTGGAGATTTGAAAATTGTGTCAAATGGGTGGACGTGTTGTTTAATCATTGGGTTCTCATATATTACCGTACGAGCGATTAATTCAGTCATTTCAAATTGTTTGTGTGGATTTGATTGTTGACTAATTGCATCTTGAAGCAACTCAGGGGGGAGAAAACTGAGTCCGCTACTTGACTGAGACTGACAAAAGCGCTCCCAAGTGCAGTTTCAACACGCCTAGCACAACTGTTGGGCAGCATAAACAGGAATTCAGTTCTCGAATGCTAATCTGAATTATCCTTCCACAACTGATGCAAAGTCAATAGAGGGGTCCTCAGTTTCAAATTGTTTCGACGACTGTGATTTAACGCATGCATCTCTCTGTCATTCTTTAGGCATGACTAATCGATTTCCCACTGTTACACTGTCTGATTCTTTTTTTTTGAGTTCACAAAGCAACCATTTCACAGAGGAACACGAGTCGGTCAGAATTGCACGTGTGCCTTTATGGCACAGGTGTCGAAGTCCGGTCCTCGAGGGCCAGTGTCCTGCATGTTTTCCATCCCTCCCTGCTGCAACACACCTGATTCAAATGATCAGGATCACTA